AATTTCAGGAAAACTAAAGAATTCAGTGTCTCGTGAGAGATATAATCTAATCCCCACACACCTTTTCTTTAAAAGATCGTCCATAATATCTAAATTCCCTTCAGTAAATTGCTGAAATCAACATAAAATGTGTCTTTTCCATCGCCGCAGAGCTGAGTCAAATTTGGTGGTCGAAATACGCACGGCTGCGAGCACGGTGTGTAAGCCTCATTGTCCGCTGTGTAAAAACTTCGCTTACGCACAATGCATAAATTACGGAGGACGATGCGTACATTTCAGAAAGCTTCTTTTTATTGGATTGAAATTGGCCCTAATTTCTCGACAACCAATCAAATTATGTCATTACAACAAGTTAATACGCGTCAGGGGACAAAACCTAATGAGGTATGACGTATTTGTTTTCATTTACATACAGCCAATCAGAGCCCATTGGGGGTACTGATTAATGAATATTCATATAACTATCACGAGTTGACCTTATTCGCATACGCGCAATGTAAAACAGATTAAACCAATTAGCGCGTAGTGTGCACATTGCATACGCGCGCGCCAGTCGTTGAGAGCCGTTGGGAGGTCATAAGGAATGAATATTTATGAAGTGATCACGCGCTAACCTTATGCGACATCATACTCTAACGATAGTTATCCAATCAGCATCGCGTACTGTTGCACGCGCATGCTATTGTGTGTACACCTATGGCATGGGCAAAATGGCCTTGCTAGCTAGTCGGATTGACAAGGTTTATGAATATTGACAAGGTACCTATGGCGAATTTTTGCAAATTGCCACGAAATTTCTCATGAATATGCATAAGGATCTGTTGCAACTACCTATGTAGGTTTTTTTGTGAATGAACAACGTGTCGACAGTGAAACGCCCCGCCAAAGTTGGAAATCCGGTTGGAAATATTCCACCTCGCGTCAATGTGAAAACGCGTGTTGTGGCAGGCTAATTGCCTTAGAAAGTGCCCTGTAAGCTATTTTTCAACTCGAAAGGTACCTATGTAAAACTTTCACAAAAGTAGACAAATTTGGCATCTACAGCAAGTCTTATACCTGAATTTTCATTAAAATCGGGTTCTTTTGTACATCAAGATATATTCGGGGAGATATGAGCTCGTAAAATGGACAGTGTGTGTAAAAGCCCATACCTGATTGTGCGCCCTTTTGTGGTGCGTTTTGAATACGCTTGGCCTCTATGGAGATGTCCCTCAACTTATTGTAATGTGTAACATCAGAAGGTAGGGGATTACATATCCTTTGTTTTGGCGCCCGAGCTGGCCCAATAACAAGTCGCAGTTACGAGCATTAGTTCCTTGAAGTACACAACCCCAGTCAAAAAGGCGAATTTCCACGTGACCTCCATAGAGAATTCACAAAGTAAATGATTGTTGTCCCCTTTTGAAGACGAAAAGGCCCTAATTTCCAGTGCACAAATCACTTCGAAATTGGTTTCAATGGAAAGAACAGTAATTAAATATGTGATTTCCACCCGAGCTGATGTGAAATCAAAGTTTCTTTTCATTGTAGGAGCATTTCTTTGCACACTTAGCGCATTTTCAAAGAAGATTTCACGTGTTGTAGACCGCGGAGCGAGTCCGCGTTTAGCAGATGCCCGAAATTTGTTCATATGTTGGAACTACGCTTGACCTTTAACTCAGATGGCGGCCATTTTGGATTTGCCCAATATGGCATACCCAGAGGGTGCCCTTCTTGGCGTCCGGCAGAAATCGTAAAAGTATGGTATAATCTACCTCTGGGCCAAATTTGGTGCTTTTAGAAGAATCTGCACCAAACAACACCTATTTAGCCCTAACAGCCCCCACTATACTGACTATGTATACGCGTGGACTAGAGTACGGACATTCGGTGCGGCAGGCGGACTATTGGTGCGAGACCTCTTTTGCACGGATTGTCCGTCAGACATTTGAGGCGCGCACGGAATGTCCGACACGGACATTCTGCGCGGATAAAATCCGCACCGATCGTCCGCTCTCGATCGATCTCTAATAGTCGGACGATCGGTGCGGGTTACATTCTACGCGGTCACACCGGCCGAAAATTCGCTCAGAAAAAAAAAAACCAAAAATGTAAAAATCACGTGTTTTTACATAATTTTCTCTCAAGGGGGAGGGGCCGGGCCCCCGGCCCTCCTTCCCCCCCCCCCCCCCCCCCCACCTCTGAATCCGCCACTGCGCTATACTGGCAATCCTTATGTAGGGCAATTGCATTACGTAATATTGTGTTTTAGAGGCTAAGACCGTTATAGCGCACTGTAGGCAACTCTGTGGCGTATCATGTTAGTTCTCCTCCCATTTACCATGTAGACCCTACTCTGTACATTTAAAAAAAAATCAAATGTTGTCTCCCCTCAATAATTAAAATCATAAATGCACCCTATATTTTTGCTTGGGGTTATTTCTCCTGCAAAACCGAATTAGAAATGAGCCGAGTGTTGTGCGAGACGAGTTTCCTCCAAGGCGATTCTTTTCATCGTTAAAGTTACGTGGAAGTAGTTAGGCCGACGTACGTTGATTGCATACGTGTTTACGCACTCTATATCAAACTCTAATACTGGATCGGCAGAAAGTGGGAACATATCATAGATATCCCTAAAAGGAGGTAACTAGTTATACAGTTCACCATTTCATTTGTATCTTTGCTTTATTATTTGGCCTTCTCTTGAAATAAACCTCTGGCCAAGTGGCCATTTCATTTGGGTGTGTACCCACACTTGCCAAGACTTGCGTGTCAACGCAACGAGTAGAACAACTCCTACTTAATTAATGCATCAATCAATGCAATGGCAATATGCATGCATTAACTCCACTGATCTCCGCCACCGAAGGCGTCCGAGCTCCAGAGCCTGCACAGGAAAACGATTCAAACAGCGGGTTGGGTCGTATTTTTTCGAAATGTAAAGAAGTATCCTAGTAATAACAATTTTGACTTAGATCTAGAGTAAAACCGCCAAACTTCGGACATTGCCAAACTTCGGACAAAAATTACTTCAACGGCTCGAACGCAAAATATGGCCCTAGCTCAGGCAGGTAACTTGGATGCATTTGATACTAGGCCTACTACTAACCTACATCGTTAGTACAGAAAGTTAGGGCAGGTTGCTGTCTGCAAAACTCACAAAAAACATCGAATTCAGAGACAGATTTCAGGTTACCTGGATTTTTACAGTTCCTTAACAGGGGAGTTAAGGTATAGAGCCTGCAATAGACTATATCGATTAAAAACAAATCCTTGGCATATTTCAGGTGGTTTCTGCCAAAATTATGGGAGCTTATGAGATACTTGTTCACTCTATCGCGAAAATTTTCTAATGGCGGCCGTTACCACGGACCTAGGGGTACATACCCCTACCAGAAGATGGTGCTCTTCCAAACTTCGGACAGGCAACATTGAGTGTCATTATGACTACGAAAAAATTTTAGCACCAAAATATTGTGTGAGAGTTGTGAAAAACACCTTTCTGATAGTTCTACCTAAAATAAATCTACCCAAAACGAGAAAATAATACTTTTTTGATTAAATCAACGCAGGATTTTTGATACGGTTTCCAAACCTCCGATGAATGCGCACTTTAGCGCGCGCGCTATATGTGCGCTGTACGTGCGTTACATGTATACGTGCGCTACACATGAACGTCCGAAGCTTGGCAAGTGCGTCCGAAGCTCGGCATGAAAACAGGTTCGGCGGGTAGGTAGGTAGATAGGTAGGTAGGGGCGGGTAAGTAAATAATTCTAGTTTTCCATTTCCTTTACTAATTTTCTTTTCATGACATACATAAACAGTATTTGCACAATAATAGTATATTTGATCTTTCAATAATTAAAAAAAGAATTTAATGTTTTCCCCCGTTTTGTCTTAAGTGTCCGAAGTTTGGCGGTCTTACTCTACAATGTTTTAAGACTCCTTGATCCTCGATCCTCTGGGCATTCGTTCAACAACTTGAAATTAAAATTTGAAGTTTTCATCTAGACTATTGTTGCAACTTTGCAAGTTGTATGACCAAACTAAGTAGATCTAGGCCTACACCAGTGTAGACTTTCTTCACAGACATTTTATTTTAGAACATATTACAAATGTGATATTCAAATAATTCGATCCATGATTTCTCATATTCTAAACAAATCCATTTAGGCTAGATCTATTTCAATTAGACTGGACTAGATCTAGATCTATTACCAACTGGACAGCAAAGTTTTTTACTACAGAGTACAGACTGGTCCAACTGGAAAATTTATTGTCAAAGGATTTCAGAGATATCGGGATCTAAAAATTTGAAATCTAGAAATCTGATTGTGCGTGCGCTCTACATCTAAGAAATTCATAAAAACAACAAGACCTAACTTCACGCACGGGGTTTACAGTTGATTTATCAAAAAAAGCGATTCTTCAAAAATAAGGTAATAATTTGCTAGGCAAGATATCATACAATCAGCTGGTACCACTTTTTACTTACAATTTTGAGGAAATCTGATCTCAAATTGAAGATTTTCAGACCCTTATCGGTAAGTTGATAATTTTTTGGAATGGACGCAAAAGATTGCAAAATTTGCCGATCTTTTGTCAATATTTTCACAATTTCGTACCCAATTCCAAATAAACTTTTATCTCTGGGTCATTTTATGTTCCTCTTTCCATTGGCGATATCAGATTTTCGAAATCTTACTGATATTTTGAGATAGCGAACTTCGGTCACGCGCAAACTTTGGTCACACCACCATTCTGATAATGAAATATTTGTTGATATTTCTATTTTATGTGTGTACCTATGGCTACGAAACCGAAATCGTACCTCACAAACACACTATCCCGTGCTAATCAACTCTCTATTAAATTATATATCTCACTCTCACAGGTAAATTAAAGTGGAAAACCAACGTAAATCTGTTGGCACTGCACTCACAACTGGCAACTGAGAACTTCTGAGAAACGCCCACTTTGGTAATCTTGATCTATTTGAAGCCTAAGGACTAAGCTTCACCATGGGTGGGGCTTTCACCAAACTACTTTCCAGTTTATTTGGCAAGAAAGAGATGAGAATATTGATGGTTGGATTGGATGCTGCTGGAAAGACGACTATCCTCTACAAACTCAAGCTTGGTGAAATTGTCACAACCATCCCAACAATAGGTATGTATGAATACAAGGATTAGTTGTGTGATAGAGTTTCTATGGTTATCTAGAGTTGAGAGCTGGGGGGCGTTTCATGCTGATGAATCTGGAAAGAAATAGAATATTTCAAATTTCTTTAAGACGCGAGTATACATGTACATGTACTGTACATACATTTAATTGAATAGAAATAAATTTGTGGACAGAGATTCAGGGACTATGTTGTGCTCTTCTTAAAGCCTTCTGTTCTGAACAACCCATCTATTGCATGATATTAAAGCAATCCAGAAGTAGCTTTGTACATGTAAGTTACCAGTATCTCGTGAAGAGTATATTCATTATCTCAACTCAATATAAGACTTAATAATAAGACATTATAATAATATTGCCAGACACATTTTGATGTTATTTAAATTCTTTAATATTTTGCAGGTTTCAACGTAGAGACAGTGGAATACAAGAACATAAGCTTCACAGTGTGGGATGTAGGTGGTCAAGACAAAATCAGGCCACTGTGGAGGCATTACTTCCAGAACACACAAGGTATGAATGTACTTTTATAATGACATGTTGCTCACATGTCCTGGCTACAATTGTTTCATAGTGATGATCAGCTTCTACCGTAGACCCAACATTATGCATACCACTAACTCTAAACCTAATCTAAAACCCAATTACAACGCTAACCCTAAACCTAATCTAAAACCCAATTACAACACTAACCCTAAACCTAATCCAAACCCCAATCGCAACCCTAACCCCATTTCTATATTTGACAAAATAAACCCAGAGCATGTGTCAGATCACTAAGTATAAATTTAGGAAGTACTGTGTTAAGCATGAATTGTGACATTTTCCTTTTAAAGGTGAAATTCAAAGAAAATCCCAAATATGTCAACTAATGTATCACTATAAACTGGTAAGCTAACAGATGGCCATCGTACAAGTTATAGGTCAACTACATATCGGGTGATTTATACAAATACAAATTCAACTTCCTCCATAGCAGCTGGGATATACGAGAGATTCGCCGGAAAAATAACGATGTTTTAATGACGTCACTATATGGACCAACACTGCCCAAGCAGACGACATCCCATAGAGAATGAACATAATAGCAAAGCTATTATTTGTCAAATTATAATGAGTTTAGTTTATATAGATGTAATAGCATGTCAAACCATTCAAAAGGGGATATGACCCGATTCTGGTAACTAAAATCTTTTTCTTGTAAATACACAGGATAGGGGTTAATTAACAATCAAAGAAACCAGACTTTCAAATTGAAAAGCCCCCGGAATGATATTAAAGACGGCATTTGTTCTCTCCTGAAACGCCGAACATACCCCGGTGTGTGCAGCTGAATATACAATGGCGTCTTATTTTGTTTACAAGCGACAGATTCCTTTATTTTCGTATCGCTGCATTTGTCATCAAAATAAAACCATGTGCAGGGTTTAGAGTGAGGCAATAGATTATACATTTAGCCTGACGGTAGTGAAGTAAGAGAAAGAACTCAAGAGAAGATGAAAACACAGGCACTGAAAATGTGTGAGATGTCATGGGGCATCGTCTGCTTGTGCAAGTCATGTCCATACTGTGATCTCACACGTCTCAGCAGCGTTCGGATAGCTCTTCAGGTGCTATGCCGGGGCTGTATTTAAGCGTTTTTGTAATTTATAATAATCGTTACTTCGAATGTTTCCAAGCATTGAACTTTGATAATTTTGTCGAATCAAAGTTTCAACTTTGCAATAATGAAAATAAAGTTCGTTTTTAAAATCAATGAATATCTACTTTAAAGGGCTTTTTTAGCCTGTGAAACTTGCCATTCTTAAAGCTTTGAATAAAACTATACAAATTTCACCCAAAAAATCTTCCATTTTGGACAATAATGATGTCTTATTGATTAGTCTTGGGATTCTGTCCACTAGCTTGGCATTGCACTTCTGCCATAGCTAATTAATATAATAGTTTGTCTAAAATAATGGCTAGATCGTGATTGAAAATGTTTCAGATTTATATGTACAATGTACAGTGTATGTATACATGTAGGCTTTTTATATGATAATACAAGTCATCATATTATAGAACTGCATGTATTTAGAACTACCAGAGGAGAAAATTGTATTACCAGGTAAACGAAAACACTCACTTGTGTGGATGGGCAGCTAAATCGCTATAAACATTCAGGCCTTTATTATGGAGACTGCATTTCAGAGAGAAAAAAAATAATTGTGTTGTGGTCTTACAGTGTACATGTACATGTGCACATACTTGTAGCTCATCTACAATGTACTCCCTATTATTGTCTCTTGGGGCGAGAAGGGTTTTAACTTTAGTTAATACCCTTCTCTGGGCTACTGGCTCTCAACAGAAACTATGTAGGATTGCACACAAATTTAAAAAAAGATTGATTAATCACATATTTTATGAAAAATAATATTGAACATACCGGTAGTACAGTACTTCTGAACTTTTTTCTAATCTCTTAAAAAAATTCTCCCCCAACTTGTCCCCCTCGCAGGTCTGATATTTGTTGTAGATAGCAACGACAGAGAAAGAATAGGTGAAGCACATGATGAGCTCAGTAGAATGTTGAATGAGGATGATTTAAAGGATGCGGTACTGCTTATCTTTGCAAACAAACAGGTGAGATATGTGTAACCAGTCAGGTATTCATACACAATAGGCCTGTCTTCGTCAGCTCGAGTTTGCCAAATAACCAGATATTTTAATTATCCCGATCGAAAATTAGCCAGTTAATTTGCGTTTTCATCAGCCCACAGTTGCAATTAGCGGGATATTTGGTCAAGAAAATATCCTGAGAAATCTTGGTCTTGTTTTGAAAATATTGGGCTAATTTGCGCTCGTTTTTAAAAGCTAATTTGTGATGAGCGTATCAGTCTGGTGAAGACGCAATTTCGAGCTTCAGAATAATATTCCGAGTCTGAAAATAGCGGGTTATTTGGCAAACTCGAGCTGATGAAGTCGGGCCTCTTTTCAACTTATGGATATAACCTCTGTGAAAGAAAAATCTTTTGTTTATTCTAGATTCAGACAAGAGCAAATGTTTGTCATGATAATAATCCTCAAATTTCATTATACCTGAATTGCAAAATAGATATTTTGATTTTTGCTCAACACATCAAAATTTTGGCCAGTCCCATGTTACATGCTACCACAAAATTATGTGGTGCCAGCAAATCTGGACTACAGACATGTATTGTGTAAACAAAATGGGTTTGCTTAGACAATGATTGATTATACATTGCAGTCCCGTTTGATTTTCGCGATGTGAATTTTATTGTGTTTTTTTACATAATTGTTTCAGGAATTTGATCAACTTGGGTAATTATTTGACTTATACAGAGAATTATTAAACATACGCGGTACGTATTAAAGTTCATAAAGAAAATGGGGACCTTTTATTACCATTGACTTCAGAGGTTTATATGCGACGTCGACTTTTTCGAGATTGACTTCATGCAAAAATTGGTATCTGATTTGAATAATTTGCAATAAATTTATTCATCTTTTTTTTTTGGGGGGGGGGGGGGGGGGGGGGGGAGAGGTTAAGGCAAAGGATTTGCAATGGTACTCTTTACATGCGAGTTCACGGTTGTGCTTGTTTGCGCACCTATATCAATAAGCGTAAATGCCTTGTATTCTTTCCTTTTTTTAATTTGTTTCTTTTCTGTTCCTAACTTTCTTTGCCTGTGCTAGGATCTGCCCAATGCTATGTCTTCACAAGAGATCCAAGATAAGCTTAATATTCACCATCTTCGTAACCGCCAATATTATACCCAGGCAACCTGTGCCACTTCTGGAGATGGACTCTACGAAGGATTAGACTGGCTCTCCAACCAACTGTCAAAGAAAAAATGATGCCACTTTTTATACGAAGTCGGCAATCACACCAAGAAAAAGATATTTTCCTCTCTACTTCCCTGTACCTCCCCTTCTAATCTTTACCTTAATATGTCCCTGTTTTTGTAATTCTTTGTAACGATCTCTAGAGCTTGTAAAATGTATCAGCAAGTGTGTGTGTTCTTTCAGCCCCCAGTCCCTCCCCTCCTGAAACAGAATTTCCAGTCAGTTCTTAGATAAAAGCAGAAGGATGCCTCAACGTAAAAACTTGAAAGCCTGTGGTCATATGATACAATCAATATACATGATCAACAGGACCATTCATGTAAAACATGTTTAGATGGTTTTGGATACGAGGGACTGTTTAATTAAATAACTCTAGCATGCTGTCATGTGTCACATGTCCATTGTTTAAATCTGGATCAGGAGACTTGTGCCATTGCCTTTTATTCTATAGGGTAGAAATTATTTTCCAAGTAAATCGAGACCAAGATCAATTTTGGATTCATAAGGTATTTTCATTGTACAGCTTTTTTGTGAGGCAATGAATGGCATTGTCAGGGAGTTGTGCACACTGGCTTCCCATACAATCAGCTGTGTTGACAAACACGCGATTGCTCTCATCAACACAGGTGATAGTTAGGTTGCAAAAGTAGCAAATTCTACCCAATAAAACAAAACTAAAGACATTGTGTCAATGGTCTCATGGTGCGATTGCAGATCTCTGTTGTTACGTTCCTTTTTTTTGGCCACCCTGTAGAACCTTTTAAAGAGTAATAATTTGGAACAGTAACATGTGTCTCTCACTACTGAAGTTATTTCTTCTGTATAATCTGAAACAGCTTTGGAAGTACATGCGCAGGCCCATCTACATGTACATGTATACATTTTACCATGATATCTACATGTACATACATTTTACCATGGTATCTACATGAACATGTATACATTTTACCATGGTATCTACATGTACATGTATACATTTACCATGGTATCTACATGTACATGTATACATTTTACCATGGTATCTACATGTACATGTATACATTTTACCATGGTATCTACATGTACATGTATACATTTTACCATGGTATCTACATGTACATGTATACATTTTACCATGGTATCTACATGTACATGTATACATTTTACCATGGTATCTACATGTACATGTATACATTTTACCATGGTATCTACATGTACATGTATACATTTTACCATGGTATCTACATGTACATGTATACATTTTACCATGGTATCTACATGTACATGTATACATTTTACCATGATACATGTGTATCTACATGTACATGTATACATTTTACCATGGTATCTACATCTACATGTATACATTTTACCACTGTATCTACATGTACATGTATTGGGTGTGTGTCATGTTGGATATAATAATATCAACAGCTGTAAGTCAGAGATTTTTTATGGCAAAACTTTGCATTACATCCCAATATTAAGATCAATTGTATGATCTGCAAATTAATTAGTGTCTTGAGACTTTATATTTGAAAAATGTTAGGCTATATAAATTATGTTGACTAGCAGAGAATTATAATGATGATGTTCATATTAAGTGTGAGGTACCTGTGGACCTTTTTTTCTATTGATGGTATTTACACATTGCTAGGTAGATTGCTATAATATGTTGTGTTTTTTTTTTGGAAGACTTAAATATTCAATGGTAGGGTGGATTCACAATAAACAGCGCCCCCACCGGCAAACTTTTTTAGTTTGCCAGTTGACATCTTTCAATCAGTGCAGCACAGCAAAACGCTAGCCACCGATTATAACGACCAAAGAGGTTTGAACCGTGTAATAATTTCAATGTGACCGATTATCCCGATATCAGTGCACATTTGTATATTGAATTTGGATGTCAAAACCCACCCATCAATATATTCTGACTGAAAATATTGCCTGATTTTGGACAACAATCAATGTAAATGGTAATTTTGTGCCCCAAAGGTGACTAAAATGACCATAATATTGTTGTTGATGTGGGTCAATTTGACCACCTTTTCTAGCATCAGGGCATATTTGTACATGTTAGCACAAGCACATCAAATCTCCTTTGCTGATAATAAAAATTGGGAAATTTACCCCTAAATTCACCAAAAGTGACCATAAATGGCCAAAAATTGGCCTAAATGCCTGAAACGGTGCGAGAAGGGTCAGGACGACTTGATATTTTATCAATCGGTGCAAAATTTTACCCTGGATAAGCTATTCAAGCCCCACCAAAAAACTGATTAAATCCCCCATCTCCTAGGGTATATAACAATGCCATAGCTGATATTTTGTTGACTTTCTTCCCATGATGCATCACATGAAATTGACTTAACGCTGGGTTCGCAAGGTGGTTTTGTGAATCCGCCATATTGTTATAATTATGGAAAGAGGATTTATTGTACATGTATTCTTTCAGTCTTGATTACTAAATCCGTTCAGTAGCTGCCTTAATAACCGCTGCACAGACAAGCATGTCATATTTAAAAGAAGAACGTTTAGAAGAAGTAGACTAGAAAGGAGAATTTGCATTACTCTACACTACACACATTTCACTAGTAGTGGGCATTTTAGATATTTTGTCTGTAATTTTCTTTCTTTTCGGGGTGGGTAATGCTAGACAATGAATTGCCATGCCAAAGTTTTAATAAACAAATTTATTTTGGTGATTAATTAAATGATATTTACACTCTATTATGTTATTAGATTTTGTCTATAATTTTGTTTTCTTTTTAATCAGTGGAGAGATTGGTTAAGAAATAGAATATTTATCATCATTCATACAATTTGAATATTCATGAATATTCATGAAGAGTTCTCTCCCTTCATTAGATGACTTATAGATGTTATGTAAAGATTTTGAGTACCGTAGTGTTTTTTGTATTCCATCTGTATGACCTAAGATATTAATCCATCAGTTTTTGTGGTTAAGTTGTAAATATATGACATGCAGGTGTTGTGTATACTATGCATCTGTGCTATGATGTTAAAGGGAAAAGAAAGAGAGAGAGGATAAAAAAGGGAAAAACGTTGATTACGAGTAGTACAAGGGAAATCCAATCTCGATAGCAAACCACTGTAGAGGAAAGCAGAAAAATCAGACAAGTAGCAAGGTGAGAGTTTGAATACAATCAGATATTATGAATTGCCCTTTAAATATAGAAACACAAGGAAAGGAGGGATATTATCATGTTTGTTCATTTTTTTTAAATCATTATTTTCTCTTTGCCTGAATTCAGGCCCTGACAAGTTATTTTCAGACCACAGTTAAGGCTTTTTTTGTGTACAAAATAGCTAATTCTAGGTGATTTTCAGGCCCTCTGATCAATTCTTACTGGGATCCCTGCATTCCACATAGGTTGTGTAATCTTGATGCTTAAAGGGGAACCCCAACCTCATATATGAAGTTGGTCTTCATAAAAGCAAAAATAACATAGGAGGGAATCTGATCAGAAGAAAATAAAATGTGAAAGTTATACATGTGACTGTAAGTACCTGATGCAATTGATCAAACGACATACAGTTACCTAAAACATGAAAATGATAAAGACGTCCTTGGTTGTGAGCAGATTGTTTATCTGTGGGGGTAAAGAAGTAGTAAGACCTTGGCCTAAACCATGTCCACTTTTTGACAGCTGAGGTATATCAATGTGAACTAAATTTAATAAAGACGTCCTTGGTTGCGAGCAGATTGTTGATCTGTGGGGGTAAAGAAGTAGTAAGAGCTTGGCCTAAACCTTGTCCACTTTTTGACAGCTGAGGTATATCAATGTGAACTAAATTTAATAAAGACGTCCTTGGTTGCGAGCAGATTGTTGATCTGTGGGGGTAAAGAAGTAGTAAGAGCTTGGCCTAAACCTTGTCCACTTTTTGACAGCTGAGGTATATCAATGTGAACTAAATTTAATAAAGACGTCCTTGGTTGCGAGCAGATTGTTCATCTGTGGGGGTAAAGAAGTAGTAAGAGCTTGGCCTAAACCATGCCACTTTTTGACAGCTGAGGTATATCAATGTGAACTAAATTTAATAAAGACGTCCTTGGTTGTGAGCAGATTGTTTATCTGTGGGGGTAAAGAAGTAGTAAGACCTTGGCCTAAACCATGTCCACGTCCACTTTTTGACAGCTGAGGTACCGTTATATCAATGTGAACTAAATTTAATAAAGACGTCCTTGGTTGCGAGCAGATTGTTTATCTATGGGGGTAAAGAAGTAGCAAGAGCTTGGCCTAAACCATGTCCACTTTTTGACAGCTGAGGTATATCAATGTGAACTAAATTTAATCGTACATGTATAGACTTGATTCATGTTATTTGGGATTTTTTTTTCTTTCTCTCTCACAATTTTGTTGTTTCTACCTACACCAGAGCCAGCAATTTCGTCATTCTCTCGGTAGATCATATGTACTTTACTGTCAGAGTAGATTTCATCTATGACTAATGAGTAAGCTATATAATTCCAAGATAAATATATTATGGTTCATATTGTAGATGTCTTGCAAGATCTGTTCCAATACAAAAGAATTATGATTAAAGTCATGTTCAGATTTCATGTAATATCTTTGCTATGCCATTCTTTGTTGTTGTTTTTTATTATTTTATTACAGCATACAGTACATCTTTTACATGTTCAGTTGTTCAATAGAGATTCTTTGAAAAGGAAAACAAAATTTGTCCACCAATTACCAGAAAATGATAATATCCTGATCACTTCTCTTACTCATGCCAAAGTTCAATTCTCAAATACTGGTATGTATATTGTCATGTTTGAATGAATTTGAAAGGTTTTAAAGGGACTTGGTAACATTGTTCAGATGAGGGATAGTAGTGCTAAGGTAGTGACTTCAATGCTAGATGTACAATTAAAGATAATATGAAAGTTTGAGTGAAAACGGACCACTATTCATGGTACAAATTGGGAAAAACTGATCTTATCGATTCCTTAATATAATTCTCCCAACTATATAAGTGTTGACAGATTTTTTTATAGCCTGTTTTATATCTTTTTTTTCATGGAAAAACGGTTGGGAAAATTCAAACAAGGGAAACGCTCTTGGCGGTCTCGCCTGCATAACGCAATTCAATATGATAAACCAGAACGTCAATGACGTAGCGCTCATCCGCATCTCACAACAACAAATATCGTAAATTTTATGTGGTACACTTTTGAACTGGTCAAAAAATAGAAATTTGATGCCCTGGAAGGGACATAATTTCATTTCATTTGCATAAACTACCATAAATAATCAATGGAGCAAAATCTCACAATTCTGTGTAGAAGTTTATTGTTCCAAATTTAGCTCTACCAGATAAGGCAAAATCGGTCAAGAAATGAGGGAAAAGAAGCAATTTTTGTTATTTTTGGAATAAATTTGCATAAATTACCATAATTAATTAATGGAGAACAATTTCAAAATTCTGTGTAGAAGTTTAGTGTACCAAAGTTAGCTCTACGATATAAAGCAAACCAAATCAAAATCGGTCGAGAAATGAAGGAGAAGAAGCCTTTTTTGTGATTTCGAATAAATTTGCATAAATTAGCATAGATAATGAATTTCACGATTCTGTGTAGAATTTTAAATCCCCTCCTAGCCCTATCATATGAAACAATCAGAATCAAAATCGGTTGAAAAATAACGAAGAAGAAGCATTTTGAAAATCTTAATGTTGATGCCACAACAAAGTCTAAGTTTGTTGACCTTAAATGGCCTTTGACCTTAACTTAGTGACCTGAAATTCTACTCACATGATTGGGGAGACTTGATAACCCTATAGTCCAAGTTTCATTGACTAAGATCTTATACTTTCAAAATTATATCAAAAATTCAAAAACTTAACCTTAGGTTAAGTTTTCGATGATGATGCTACAACATAGTCCAAGTCTGTTGACCTGAAATGACCTTTGACCTTGACTTTGTGATCTGAAATTCTACTCACATGATTGGGGATACTTGATTACCCTATAGTCAAAGTTTCATTGACTAAGAACTTATACTTTAAAAATTATACCAAAAATTCAAAAACTTAACCTTAGGTTAAGTTTTTGATGTTGACGCCGTCGCCGTCGCCGTCGCCGTCGCCGTCGCCGCCGCCGTCACCGGAAAAGCGGCGCCTATGTCTCGCTTTTTGCTACGCAGGCGAGACAAAAATGGTTGGGAGAATTTACGGTTAATCACTGTTAGAGGGTGTCGTACATCGACGCCTTCAAAGAAAACCAAAGATATCTTTGTGGTTTGAGTATTTTTTCAGGATTTTTTGCATGTCAGAGGGTTAGTACAGTAGAAGGGATATAGTAAGTAACATTTATACAAAAATTAAGCAATTTTTTTCATCAACCTTCAACAATGTTACCAAGTCACTTTAAGTGAGTGATGTTAAAGGGGTAGTTGAGTTTTGTTGCAGAGGGCGCTACACAAAATAATTTTTTGTGAGATAATGAAAAACCAGAGTGTCAAATTTGAAAGAACATACTGTACAATTTAAAAGACCATACAATTTAAAAGACAAAATCATCTGTTTGATCAAAAATCAAATCAGAGACGGTTGAAATATCCATAAATATAACAGATTTCTAATCTTTGTGGTGCCCCACAAATATTCCACAATTTGAACCAGCCATTGCAAAAAAAGAAATAGCGCCTTAATACGTTTTATTTCAGCCCATGCCGATGTTGGCTTTTTCATGTTGGTTATAATACGCACTACCAGCCGGCCCGTGTTTCGTCTTGAAAATAGCCCAACTGCCTGGAGGTCATCGAAAAGTACCGAGCGGCCATTTGGAAAAAAGGGCCTCCTCCTTCCTATTTTTCAAAAAGGCAGGACGCTAAACATCTTCTTTTTTTTCTTCAATGGCTTAAGCATGTAGGGCCTGATTTCCGATTTAGTTCAATATACATGTAATACAGAGTAAATGAGTATGAGGTCATCATCATTCATATCTAAACCAATAAATGACTCAAAAGTATGTTGGTTATAATACGCACTACCAGCCGGCCCGTGTTTCGTCTTGAAAATAGCCCAACTGCCTGGAGGTCATCGAAAAGTACCGAGCGGCCATTTGGAAAAAAGGGCCTCCTCCTTCCTATTTTTCAAAAAGGCAGGACGCTAAACATCTTCTTTTTTTTCTTCAATGGCTTAAGCATGTAGGGCCTGATTTCCGATTTAGTTCAATATACATGTAATACAGAGTAAATGAGTATGAGGTCATCATCATTCATATCTAAACCAATAAATGACTCAAAAGTATGTTGGTTATAATACGCACTACCAGCCGGCCCGTGTTTCGTCTTGAAAATAGCCCAACTGCCTGGAGGTCATCGAAAAGTACCGAGCGGCCATTTGGAAAAAAGGGCCTCCTCCTTCCTATTTTTCAAAAAGGCAGGACGCTAAACATCTTCTTTTTTTTCTTCAATGGCTTAAGCATGTAGGGCCTGATTTCCGATTTAGTTCAATATACATGTAATACAGAGTAAATGAGTATGAGGTCATCATCATTCATATCTAAACCAATAAATGACTCAAAAGTATCCAAGCTGAGCCATTATCCTTTAGAACTTCAAAATGATTTATTTACAGCAGTGAAACTCATAAAAAATACAATTTAATATTTGACAATTCACTCAGTTGGAATGATGAGTGCTTCTTATAAATTCACAGGTACGTTTTTCCACAGGGAAATTTAGTTATATTTAGGCATTGGTATAGTACATGTACATGTAATAGTCAAGTATTAGTGAATATGCCTATAGATGTACATGTATTCTATGCAATTTAAAAAGATTCGTTTTTAAAGAAATCACAGAATGATGCATTTAAAAAAAGGGATCCAGGATACACATAATGTGATCTGAAAACAAGGACAATACAAGGACAAGAAACAGGCGGAATTGATTCATCAATAGGTAAACAGGATTTAATTACAAAATTTCTTCTAATATTAAGTACGATAGAGGAAAGGATCAAAACACAGTGGATCAAGCTATATTTCTACTTATCAAAAAACTCTGATCATTATACTTCAATACATATATATCTTTCTTTGTTTATTCTTTAATATACTGAGGCTAACTACAAGTGAAGTCATACAATGTTTCCATCATGTCAATGAAAAGACTCCACATCCTATAATGATTTTACCCCCCCCCCCCCTCCCAATCAGGCAACTCATACAATATACATCCTACAGGGCAATCCAACATTTGTATTAAGTTCACTTGATGGAAAGCAGAACAAAGAGAAACAGAAGGGCGGACGTTTGAAATAAATCGGACCAATCATAAGAGAGTCAGGAATGTTTGAAATATGAAATCACTAAATCTACCGGTACATGTATATGAATCTTAAATTGGCAGTTTGCTCAACGGATTGTGATGTAGTCTCGACACTCTCCCGTTTGTCATACATATACAAAAATATGATTGATTTCTGTTTTTCTTTTAAAGGTGAAATTCAAAGAAAATCACAAATATGTCAACTAATGTAACACTAGAAACTGGTAAGCTAACAGATGGCCATCGTACAAGTTTTAGGTCAACTACATATCGGGTGATTTATAAAAATACAAATACAACCACCTCCATAGCAGCTGGGATATACGAGAGATTCGCCGGAAAAATAACGATGTTTTAATGACGTCACTATATTAGTACAGGAGCCAGGGGGGGTCAACCTAGCTGGGAAGGAAACCAATTTTCATGTGCACAGATGTGAAGATCACATAGCTCCACATAACAAATTGACAGTCTGGCATGTTCTAAGTGGTGGGTGTGGCCAGGGGGACGCCCCCCACCAAAAAAGTGGCCCTTTTGACGACAAAATAGTATTTTGTAAATAACATTTTAAGGAAACCTTGAACCACTATGGGTTTGGTGTCATATGAAAGAGAGTTAAATTATCTACATTTTGAAACCAATTTCAAAGAATTTGGGATTAATTAAAATCGCAAATTTAAGTAAAAAACATGATTTTTGTGATTTTTTTCAAAAAATTGAATTTTATCAAAAAACATTATTTTCCATAAATCAAAATCGGAAAATTGATTTTTTTTTAAAAACTTTCCAGGAATTTGCTTACGTTCAACGACAATAACCTATGCGAAGGAGAGGTTTATATATTGTTTCAATAAAAAGTTATACCAATCCAAAGTTATGGATTTGATTTCCACAAAAACAACATTTTTGCCCACATGTGTATAAACTGTATGCATATACGTGCATTAGTGTATTAAGGACCTGTTTGGTGTGTTTACATCAAGTTTTAAAGATAACTTTGAACTAAAACCTCTAATCACCATGTATTTGGTGTCAAAAGATGGATAATTAAAACACTTCATTCTGATAACAATTTTAATGAGTGATAAAGTGTTTGAAATATAAATTTTGAGCCAAAAAGGTGCTTTATTGTAGATATTCCTCTGGTTTTGGCCAGTATATCGGTATATTAACTAGACAAGTGATTGGACATTTAGTAGTGCAGAAAGTTCAAATGATTTAGAGCGCTGAGTGCAATTGATCAGTTCTTCTCCTGTACTCTGGGATGTTTCAGGAATGTGGACATTGGCAGTTCCCTC